AAGTACCAGAATTGTGTCAAGTTACTTATATGAATTATACTTAAAAACTATGTCTATTTACTATTCGATCATAATAACAAAATATATGGAAACGAAATAAGATATAAAAAATAGTTACATAAAATTAAAATAACACACGTATACTAAAAAAATTATTATACCTGTTTTCAGACATCTTGTTATTTAATTCTTGTAATTCTAGTTTAATTATCGTGTAACTATAGTTTGATTAATCTTCCTTTTAGCGAAGCAAAATCACGAATATGATTTTTTTTTAAAAATCTACATTAATGATGTCTTGTTATTTAATTTGATTTTAGTTTAATAATCTTGTAACTATAGTTTGATTTTTAATCTCCTTGTTAGCGAAGCAATTACCCATTAATAATTTTAAAATTTTATTATGAGTCATTTGTAGTTTATTATTAGTAAAGAGATTTATGAAGCATATCACGTGCATTGAAAATTTATTACAAATTAAAGTTAAATGCTTTATGCATTTTCTTGCTGATTTATTCTCCTAGAATGCACTAATTTAATTGCTGAAATTCGTTAGAATCCTGAGTTTGATTCTCATTGTTTATAGTAGAAAACCAAAATAAAACCAATTGTTTAAAAAAAAATTGCCCAAATTTCTCTTGTAAACATTATCAGTACTCAAAGCAGACTGAATATCTATTTCGAATTCATTGACGAGCTTTTTCACAAAATTTGCAAAGACGAGATGTTTTAATTCGTTTACTGTAACAAAGGATGTTCGAAAAGGTCTCTGTAAGCTTATTTTACTACATATTGATTCTGTGCATATATAGACAATAAAATCGAATAAAATCAATTATATAATATTATGAAAACGGCTTCCATATAGAGGAGGTTTGTGCAAATTATTTACACATCCCTCACCTCCTTCCCTGCGAAAAACTAATAAATACGCTAATAAATTTTTATATGGATTTTATGGGAGCAAATTTCTTATTAATAAATCATTTTAATTATTTAAATGAAGTTTTCCATATATTTAAGTGCAAACCTTTTTAAGCTTCAGTACTTGGCTAAACCTCGGCTCGTTTCTAATTAGATGTACTTAATACATAAAACATAACTAATAAAAATACGTACAAAAAGGTCTTCAGACAAAACATTTAAGGAAAATTTCAGAGAAAAACTTTATGAGAAACCTTTAGAAATAACTTATTTTAAGTAACATTCTTATTTGGCTTGTATCATTATTAAAAGCTTCTAGTGTGTCTCTTCATTTTTCAAGAAAACCTTCATTGTTTTTGTCAAATAGCTGATTGTTATATATTTTCTTTGATTTGAAAGTGAATATCTAAATAATTAGACTCTAAGAAAACATGCTAGAAATGTTAACACAATCGACGCTTGTTATAACGGCCGATCTATTACAATGGCAAGTATGAAAGGCCTACAATTGATGAGAATGTATTTTAGGTCAAATTTCGCAAATAACTGTAATTCGTTATAGCGCATCTTTTCTTCTCTGCAATGCAAAAATTCAAATACCAGTAGCTTATAAGTCATATCGAATAAGATTGTTTTATGAGATTAAAATATAATTAAGCAAAAGGGCTTAAATATTTTTTCCCGAAATTATATACACAAAAACCAATATTGAAATGAATGAGCGTCTGAAGAGTTATAAACTGTTTAATTCTGATTGCTGAAAGCAAAAATGTAAAAAGCTGTAAGAGTAGGAAGCATAAATAGAAAGAAAGAAAAGAGATTTGAATTCTTTTTTAATTTCCATCCGAAACGAACCATTATCGTGAGATACAGATGTAAATAAATTAATTGTATAACCAAGTTTTAAAACAAGAACTAGTGCGAAGTCTACAATGCCCAAATGAAGTAGAAATTTTTGCCTCAGCCAACTCACTCTTTTTGTATAGGAGAAAGTTTGACATATGGTTGGAATAAAAAATCGTTTCCTAAAACAAGAATTTCTGGGAATTCTAAAATTACAATGAACTTCAGGTAACCTGACTTAATTGTATCTTCATTTTTGCCTCCTTTGTCAAGTGATCGCCTCAAGAAATTCAGAACTTATTCTCACAAAAAATCCCAACAAGAGTGTGGCCCCGGTTATAGATAATGACTTTAAAAGCTCTCCTCTGGAGGAGAATCAAAACAGAAGCATACAACTTCATTGCTTTGTATTCATGCCCTTAAAAACCTAAAAGAAGTCTGTCTTCTTTTAAATTTCAACGTATAAATGGAATTCAGCAGGGTATCCCAGTGCCCCCTAAGGGCTAATATATGAGAGTTGCATTTTCATGTTCGTTTCATGTTTATAAATACAGAATGTTACTATCTCATGATCCATAATCTTAGACTTTATTATTATTTTCAAGTTTATACATAATATATGCATATAAATATATGGTTCTCATTATTAAAAACAGAAAAGGAGAAGAGAAAAAAGAGCAAAATCAGTTTTAGCTTTTAGCTAGCAACAGAATCCAAAATATGTAATTGCCAGTTCTCCTTCTCATAAAATTATTAATTGCCAGTTCATAAAAATTATTTCTTAAAATTCTTCGTGGAGATATCCTTAATTAATTCTTGCTTTGATACATTGTTTTCATTGTTAATAAAATGCAATTAAAAAGGTTTTTATACAGTTAGCTTTCATTTAAAATTGACTTTAAAATTGATATAATTAATGCACTGAAAGCAGAAAAATAATTTATCATATATAATTTAATGGGAATAATAGATTAAATCATTTTATTTACAGAATTCCTGTACAAATTTACATGACGAATGATAAAGGCGTGGGGCGCTTAAATAACGAAATTTATTAATTTAATTGCACAATCGAATGCATAAACCATTATTATTATTTTTTTTTTTTTGTAATTTTGCATGGGCTTCCAACGCTTTTATGATTCGTGATATAAATTTGTAATTGAATTTAGCAAATAGAATTATTTTATCCATTACTCCCATTTAACTATATGATAAATTATTTTTCTCCGTTTAGTTTATTAATTATCATACCTATTTTAAAAAAAGGGCTTTTTGCATAAAACTTTATTTTATTGAATTTTAATTTCTGCTTTTTAGTCTCAATTATTCTGTCGTGTATTTTCTGTGAGTTCGACTAGAGAAAATAATCGCCAATAATGTGTCGCTGTTTCTAAATGATGAAGTTGATGGAAAACTTAACTCCATCTGATAGGTGATAACTGCTTCAAATCACCAAAGTGTATAACTTTTTATACTTCAAATATATATATATATATATATATATATATATATATATATTAGAATTTTTCTACTACTTTAGAGCTTGAATCAAACATAATGCCATGTATCTCTCCACAGTCAGCCACTTTCACTGGAGAATGGTGTACACACCCGGGTACCTGGGTTGCAAGCCCTACCTCTATCGAACAAAATTGGGTATTTCCTAATTATGAGTGCATTAACAAGTTTAAATAATTTTTAACATAGTTTAATGAGTTGCTTATAAGCATAATTAATATAGAATTGATAGCTAAAAGAAGAAAGCGTGCTGAAGCCGTGCGGAGAGAACTCTGAAAATGCCCATCTGTTCGAGAGCAGAACGAGCTGGTGACTGACATTCTGAAAGATAAACAATAGCATCGAAACAAACATAGCAAGAAACGGGCAAGTGTGAATCCTTCGGTGAGAGGTTATCAAAAAGTAAAAGGCGTGCAAAATCTAAAATGTAAGATGGTAAATATACACTAATAATAATGCAATTAGGATGTAAGAACATTGGTGTTGAGGACAAATAGTCCATCGGGATGCATTCTTAGGAACAATTTGAAACAGAGCATTCCTGAACAGATAAGGTAACCATACAGTATTACTATGCTAGTGAGGCAAGCACAATCAAAATATAAGCAATAACAATTAAATAATGTTATCACTCAGAATTGCCATAGGGTGTTTTACATTTACTGGTTCTTTAACATTTTAATTACAGATTTTTATCACAGAGTTTTGAATATTTCTTTGACTTTCGAAGTAGTTACGTGAAAGTTTACACTAGACATTCCTAAGTTGATCAATTCTAAGTTCAGTCTGAATACGATTGTTGCGAATCTAACAGGGTGAATTGGTAATTTGTCTTAAAATATAGTTTTGTGCAGTTTGAAATTTTTTGCGAATAGTTTTCATTCAGCCAATCAGTTAACTGCAAATTTATTGCCAGCGAAGAACCAGCAAGGCAAACAGACAGTCAGTAGAAGATTGGAATTGTCTGTGAGAACTTCAGAAGTGTGTTCGCACCCGAGTTGAGTTTGGTTTCTAACCGGTGTAACGGATTGAATATTGTAGCGTGTTGATACCTGAGTTAAATATCTTTAAACTTATGGTTGCTTCCTTAAACTATATTTTATTAACCTGTGTAAATATTTCTGTAATGAAAATCGTGTTTATAGATAACAATAGAAAGTTAAAATTGGATTTATCTTGGATGTGATATTTTTGTCTGAAAGTCTTTGGGGAGGATTTTCTGAAGAGAACTTTACTTTGTGCATGGGAAAACATAAAAGCAATATTCAGTGATCAGAATTGAGCCTTAACCAAATTACCAGCGTTCACTTGTGTTATTCACTCGTCCGATGTTTCAGTCAAATACCGTAATGAATTATATTTCAGAACAATAATTTTCAAAAATAACGCAATTCAAAGAAAAGCTGGTCAGTTATTTTAGGAATTTTTAATATTATAATTGAGGGGAAAATTAATGTAAATATCATAACAGAACTTTTTAATTGTTCATGCTTTTGGTATTTTTACCTATAATAGTTCTAAAAAAATAATAACTTTTCTTGGAGGAAAAATAGTTAAAATGAAAACTGGCACCCAAAAAATAAATTTTTCTCAGCTTTCGAATCGTTACAGACGCGACCACTAGATGGCAGCACACGTATCCATAGTTGATTAGCAAGCTAAACAGTGAAGTGCCCGGATATATGCAGAATATTTTCAGGCTTGCCATTGAAACGTGCGGGATGGTGGAAAGAATCACAAGAGGATACTGAGTGAGTCAACATGAGATTGCGTCAAGAGCAGAATTCTAAAGCATCATGCGGTTGTAGTCATGGGTAGAGAGCGATTATCTTTTCCTTTCATCTTGGTGCTCAGTCTTGGTGCTTTCTTATTATTGCAGCATTTCGCTTATAGTAAAGGTAAGTCAGATTTCTTGCTGTGGCTTATTATTCTCTTTCATTATCTGATCAATGCGTTTCCGATTTGATGCTTTTATGCGTATTTTTCTGCTTTTATATTTTTATGCGCAAAAAATCTTTATCTGCTTTATGAGGATTATTATTATAAAGAATAAAATAATGACTGAATTAAACATTGGTAGCGAAATATGGTGATTCGTGTTTTGAACAACCACAAGCGTATTATGGTTTAAATTAATTTATTACGAATTTTTTACAGTAAATGTATGGAAGAATTTTTTTTCCCTTTAAAATAGTTAATTCCAAAAAGATAAATTGTTCTGATTTCGGATGTTGCGTGTCGTATTTAAATATTTATCTCATTAAGTGAAGTAGTGTGAAATGAGAAACAAAAGTGGGGAAATTTTAGTAGTTTGGTAAGTGATTAGTATTTTAATGATTTAATCTTTTAATGAGTGATTTTTTTTTAAGATACTTTTATGATTATTCGCATCAGAAACGTAAAAGAATTGTCCCGAAAGAATATTCTAACTGTATATTTTTGCTAAGAATTCAGCTAGAATAAATACATTTCTGAAAAGCACATGCTGAGCAATTGAAAATAATCCATGAAATTATCTTAAATTTTTCACGGCTTAACTTATTAATCTATTATTTTAGTAGTATGATGAATTTATCTTTCGAAAAAAAAAAAAAAAAAAAAAAAAGGAAAATGGAAATTCGATTGCTGAAACCACAAATATGGTTTCACTAACATGACCATATATGTGATCTGTTTCGAATATGGTTCTTTAGAACACAAACAGGGTAATAATAATGATACACGCCAATGTTAGATCACATTGTTTCGTTTTCATTCGATATCCTTTCAATCTATCTTCGTATGTGTCTCACAAAATAACTTTTCTAGAAATTTTGAATCAGCTGTAGTTTCAGAATAAGAATATAGGTGATAACTACAAAAATGGTACCATAATAGAAGCAATAGAAATACTAATACAAATATTAGTTTAAAAAATGTATATATAGGAGTTTCATGATATCATGCTGTACGAAAACAGCTTTTCTTAGAATGTTTACGTTAAAGCAAGAAATATATAGCGTTTACAAGTTTCGCATTTCGAGGAGAAGGATTTAGCAAATAATTTAGGAATTCAGAAATCCATAAGCAGAAAATTTTAAACGTAATAATTAAATAGTAGTATGATTTCAGAGAATATATATATTAGGGTTGTTTCCAGATGTTGTGATCTTTGATGAAAGCACTCACGCTTCCAAAAATGTTTTCGAGATGTCGGTTTGTTTCGATTTCCCTCTTTCGGGAAAAAAAAAAAAAAAAAAAAAAAAAAAAAATCTGAGTTGGGAATGAAATAGATCTTTATTTTTTCTTGTACTTGAGTTTGAAAATCTGTTTTCTTCCCACTTTTTTCCCTGCTGAACCCTACTTTCGCCCTGTGACTGTGTATCCTTCTTCTGAGAAAAATATTGGTTTTCTTTTGCATCGTTGATGGTTTCACTTCGCATTCAGATTTTATCCTTGTTGATTCATATTTTACTTTTGTGTTTGGCGCATGTACAAGTGTTTGGTGTATATGACCTTTCAGGTTATGCGCCGAAAATCCACCACCATCTCCTTTTGAGGAACGTTAGATTTCAGATGTTGGTTCTCAGAATCGTTGAGCACGGTTAATTGTCAGGCTCCCTATCCAAATTTTCTCCTTATTAAAAGTTACTTTCGTCTCGCCATGTGGACTGTTCTTCTAAAAGAATCTTTTGGAGCTCATGTGCGCTTGTTGGAAACTATTTTTGCCATGTTCCTGTCTCTCCTTCTTGTGGTAAAATGTTGGTTTTCTTGTGCTCAATTAATGGCCTAGCTTCGTTTAGTATTTCTGAAGATATTTGCCGGAGGACAACAAGTATTTTATCAATTATTCCCTCCCGTTCAAGAATTTAGACTGACTTCCTTGAAATACAATTGTGAGTCGACTATCCTGGTGGACGCGCATATGACGTGTTATTTTGTATTCGTTAGTTGAAACTTTTATTTATGTGTACATTGATCTCAAACACTTTCTTGAAATACAATTGTGAGTCGACTATCCTGGTGGACGCGCATATGACGTGTTATTTTGTATTCGTTAGTTGAAATTTTTATTTATGTGTACATTGATCTCAAACACATCCTTTGAATTTTAGTTGTGTTTTATACAGCGCAGCACAGCACAAGAATATCCCAGACGGAATGTAAGAATATTCCAAGAAAATTCTATGATATTCCAATCATATATTAGATTATGCATGGAATGTTCAATAGCTGCAACATATTCCTTACATGGTTTAGGAATTTTCAAGAAGTTTAAGCTATAAGAAAGCAAATCTGTTACCTTGACAATGTCAAAAAATGTTCTGTGGGCTTGTATACGAAAAGCAATCACAACCCACTCTTTTCCAAGGGTTGATATGCTTTTTAGAAGAGTATTTCCATGAGACATATCTGGAACGCTCTACGCGTATTCGTTCCGATAGATCCGAAGAATATTCCAAATTGGAATATGTTTGGCACATTTAAGGAATATTCCTCAAATATCATAAATAATTCCCTAGGTGATACGTTTGGAATATTCCATATGTAGTGGGATAATATGGAATGGAAATGGAATAGTCTTATATTCGTTATTTGTGTTTCAAATTTAATCAGGAAACTTTACATTGTAAAAGAAATGCGTTGACACTCAGCAAATATTTGTTTTTCAGATTTAATGAACAAACCAAGTGATTTAAAAGAAATGCGTTGACACAGCCCGAAATAATATTTTTTTTATTTTCCACGCGCTAGCGTATTGCCATTCGGCAAAACGTATGATATTTAGGTACTCTTCTGTTTTGAGGGCGTAAAAAAATTGTAGCGAAAATGTATGCGCAAAAGCGTACCAAATCTAGCGTACGCGCTGGTTTCAGATTGCGTAAGTTTAGATAGTTCTTTATTTCTTAAGACGCCATTGAAATGCTAGTTTAATTTTTAAATCCTTTTTTAAATATCCTATGGATTTTTAGCAATTTGGGAATTGCCCATGATGAAAAGACGGCAATAGAATTTTGGGTAAAGTGCAGAATCACTCACTGCTTGACGCATTTTTAAGAATTTCATATATTCGGTATCCATGTGCATATTGACCTATTTTCACTTTAAAAAAATCCCAGAATTGCACAAAAATGGCACTGTGCACCCCCTTGACGTTATCTATGTACACATCGACCTATTATTTTCATTTAAAAAGTAAAATAAAATTGACAAAAATCTAATTGTTTTTACCCTTGTAAAAAGCGGCAAGCAAATAGTAAGTGAGCGATTCTGCACTCCTGAATTCCGATTCTGAATATTTTCAAAGAAAAGGCATCATTCATTATAGAAAATTACGTTTGAACAACCAATGTTTTTTATGCTTTAGCGTTAAGTCGGTAGCGAAATAGCGATGCAGGCATCCATTCAGTTATGTTTAGCAATTTTTATATAAATTATAATAATGATCTGAAATAGTTATTTACTCTTATGCTTCCATTCAGACATGTTTAGCCTTTTTCATATAAATTATAATAATAAAAAAGTATTATATGAAATTAACCTTTCATCTAAATTAAAACATCAATTTTAGATAGTTATTTACTATTATACTTCCTTTCTTGCCGCAATTATTAGGGTTGCCGCGATTATTTTTGGCAGCATTGGCATCAACAATAATGTGACTATTTTTTAGGGCCCTCGAAACCGAATAGTACCGACATTTATTGTTTCTTTCCATTTTAATCTGTCTGCTATTGATTAACAATCTAAGCGATTTAAAAGCAATAAACGCAGTTCTGTTATTATTAATTGCTAACTGGACGCTATGAAATTACACCAGATGGATTCATTAAAAATCATTATATCTTTTTTCCTAAAAATTATTTTAGGCGGCTATTATATTTAATTAAAAATGATACCTGAAACTTACATCTTCTGTATCTCTTATGTCAGCCATAATATTTGCGTATGTAGTAGCTGCTGTTCATCTGATGTATTTTAAAACCCAATACTGCTCCATTTTTCAAATAAGTTATATTGGAATGTAGTTTTTTGTATCATACTGTAATGCTGCTTTATTTGTAGGAAGAGATTAAATAATAAATAAAATTTTCAGTCATACAATAGCTTATAACCTATCTTAATTATTAAAATAATAAATAAAAATTTCAGTCATACAATAGCATTTATACGATAGATTTAAAATCCCAAATGAATATTGGGGGGAAGGGGAGAGAACTATAATGCATTTTCCTTAGCGATGCGCAGTTGCTAGCACTAACGCAGTTGTGAAAGGAGGGCAATTGTAGAAGAAAAATGTCTGTCCCGGAACCCCAACTCATTGTTGCTTTTCTAAAGAGTACTGCGTCATCTTTTCGTTTCCCTGCAATTCCTAAGGGGTTGCATGAAAAGAACTTTCATTTTTTTAAGATTTTTATTACCTTTCTACGTATTGTGTTATAGCATGGATCATCGACAGTGACTTTTTTTATTTATTTATTTTTATTTTTCTTGGTAGCAAACGATAAAACTCCCATGAGAATAGATAAACGCTCACCGTATTACTCTTCCTATTCATTGGACTTAATCCTGGCCAAATTCATTTAAGTTTCATCAAATTTTCTTAAAAATATTATAACATAAGGTCGTTCATTATACATGAAGTTTCTGTATTCAGATTTCTTTGCATCCCATTTTAATGAACTTACGTTAATGTTAACTTGAAATATAGGCTAATTTAGACCACAGGAAAGGGGGGGACAAGTCAAGTTTTACACCACTGTGTGGTGTTTTTCGGAAAAAATTTATTCAAACCATAAAACTGGGCTAAACAACGGCCGAGCGGTAATGTCGCTGAACACTGGTAATTCGGTCGGTATTCGAATCCTGATGCACGGGCTGGCTGCTTGGCCGTTTGCATGGTTTTCCCGAGGTTTAA